GGGTATTTCCCCTCCGCCACCTTTTGGCTATTATAAATAATGTGCTGTGAACATTTGTGTACAAGTTTGTTGGACATGTTTTCATTTCTCTTGGTTATGTATCTAGGAGTGGAATTGCTAGGTCATACAGTACTTCTGTGTTTAACATTTTGAGGAGCTGCCAATCTGTTTTCCAAAGCATCTGTGACATTTTAAATTCCAACCAGCAATATAGGAAGGTTCCAGTTTCTCAACATCAACTTAAAGTACTTTTCAAACTTAATTTTATTGCATAAATTGTGGGTTCCATGTTGTCAAAATACAGATATGTTTTAAGGAAGTTGCTTTTTCCCCCTTCTTTGCAAAGAAGCTCCAAATACAACTTTTCTTTCTGTAAGAAAATGGACTCAAACTAATTTATCCTGAGGTATCTTCTAACTCTAAAAGTCTATGCTTCTCTGAATTCTTCATCTTCAAACAGAAAGAATGGCTCTTTTTAATTGCACCTTGTAGTTTTTACCTGAATAATAATGTCTGTTTGGCAAGGAAATAAACAAAGATGGAGTCCAAAAACTGAGTCATTGTTTCAAGTAAATCATAACCTCTATGAGTTGTCCTTTCCTGCCTGTAAGCCAAAAACTTGGCATGTTTTCTATTTCTTCAGTTGCTTTTGAAAAGTTCAGGTATTATTTCACAATGTATGAACAATTTAGTAATCTAAAAAAAAAGAGAGAAGAAATTGAATCTACTTTCTACATTGGTAACTTTCAATGTAAAAAATCACATTAACAATTTCCATCTCAGATATTAGACTCACAGTATTAAGCAATACCAATCACAACATTAAAGTCATGTCATACCTCTCTTTTATCCAAAAGATATGAATTTTGAAGTATAACCTCATTATCATTTTTCCTCCTGGCGTAAACACCCAACAGATTTATAAATCACAGATGTAGTTTATACATTTGGCAATTACTCAAACAACTCTCACACTGGCAAAACAAGGCAAAACAGATTATCTATTAGAATCCGCTAATTTTGTGATTAATATTAGACTATGAAATTTAAAATATAGAGGCAGCATAACAAAAAAGCATGAACTTTGGAGTTCAGATAGAAATAGGGTTGAGTCCTGGCTCTGCCATTTACTAACTGTACAAACTTTGGAATGTTTCTTACGTTCACTAAAGGTCAGTTTACTTTTCTGTTAAATGGGTTTAATAGCTCCTACTCTGTTGGGTTGTTGTCAGGATCACCAGCTAATGTATCTTGTATAAAATATATCAATAAATCTTATGTGTTTTTTCCCCTGAAAATCTTCCTTGACGGCTCAGGCTCAGGATTTAAATATATGCATTTTTCACTTTCATGGTATAGGAATCTTTGATTTAGGTCAGTATGAAAGCATTTTTAAAAGGGCCTGCTTAAGAACTGATTTCATAGTTTGTGATCTTTTTCATTAGATACGGTTGAGATTTTACATACTTTATTTTTCTTCTTCGTCTACAAGATTGCATTTTCATTAGTCCATATTCAATTTATTCCTAGGATATGTTGGGCATATTTTTCTTTTCCTTGTTTCCCTCAAAGAAAGTAGAAATTTGAGAGTACCAATCAGTGTCAGAGAATTTAACAACCAGATGATCACTGTTGTTGGCAAAGAGCAACTTGAATTTGAATGCTCTTGGAAATGAGGATCATTGATACAATTGAGTACTGTATCTATCAATTTGCTTGGGACATTTCTTCAGAGAAAGAGACTAAAATCAATTCTAATCTGTATTCTGTTTATGTGCTTTCCATGTGTGTATCTCAAGATGTTTATCTATCATATTACAGTTAATGTACATAATACGGCAAAACTCACGGTCAGAAAACATATTAATTAACTTATTTGACAAGTGGATAAACTGCAGCCTAAAGTGGTTGAGTTGCTTAAGACATGGAGACGGGTCTAGGGAAGTAAGCAACAGCCCAAGTTCCAAGGCCTAATTAATATGTATCCAGAAAATGAGCTCCTTTCGAAGTAGATATCTTTTACTGTGCTAGCATGTTGCCAGTGAAAACTTTGTGTGTGTTTCTTTTCCCCCCCAGCTAGATTCTTATTTATTCACACGAAAATGTTTGGAACTCTATTTTATGCCCTACCCAAATCCTTCTCTTCAATGTTAATACCCTTGTTTATCTTGTGTGTGGGTGTGTAGGTGTGTGTTTTACTCTTGTCAGGTTCCTGTCCAAGCTATGGTCTTAATTTTTGCCTCCTGGCATTCTTTATTTTTTGGCCATGTCCTTAGTATTTGCTATTTTTTATATTGTTAGTATAAGATTTCATTCAGTAAATTTCTTGCTATCATCTTTTGACAATGAATTTGCCGTAATGCCTCATTGATTTTCTCAAGTCTCTTCATAAATATAATTATTAAAACTGTATGCGGGGCCGGCCCATGGCTCACTCGGGAGAGTGCGGTGCTGATAACACCAAGGCCCCGGGTTCGGATCCCACATAGGGATGGCTGGTTCGCTCACTGGCTGAGCGTGGTGCTGACAACACCAAGTCAAGGGTTAAGATCCCCTTACTGGTCATCTTTTAAAAAACAAACAAACAAAAAAAAACCTGTATTCATTTCTGGATTTATGTACTCCCCCCCAAAGTGTCAAACCTTTCTAAATACTCGTCTTCTTCCTTTACCCTCCATCCCCAGTGTTGATACCTTAGTTCATTACCACTGGGTTCACTGGACCACCACAGTGAATTGTGACTAATAATTCCCTTTCCTCGTTTTCTCACTTCAATCCATCCTAAATAATATATCCAGTACTATGTTTCTATAATTTTATTCTGATCTTATCAGTTCATGGGTACTTCAAAAAGTTCATGTTAAGATAGAATAGAGAGTTCTGGTCTAGATGGCGGCATAGACGGTCCCCAGCATCACTTTCTCCCACAAATCAACCAATTTACAACTGTAAAAATGTAACATCAGCCAAACTGGGGCTGCTGGAGCTCAGGGGAAGAGGAGGAGAGACCTACAGAGTTCATGAAGGTGGGAGAAACCATGATGAGAGAAAGAAAAAACTGCTCTGAGCATTTCAGGCCACAGCCGCTTTAACGCTGGAGCTGCTGAGTGCACGAAGCAGGAACCAGCAGAAGACGCAGCTGTGCCCTTCAGATGGAGTTACTTGGAGGTAGTAGGAGAGAAGAGGGCCTTGGTGGCCCCCAGGACAGCAAGACCATTAATAGGTTTCCCGTGGACCCATGCAGGAGTGAGGAGCCAGAACAGCTGAAAAAGGGGAGCCACTCAGAGGCTGGTGAGTCAGCACAAGGGACCGCGCAGGGCCTGTCCCATGGGAAGTGTTTGGAGCATGGGCAGTGGGGAAGGCGGGCCCACAGGGGGAACAATGGGACACAGCAAGGACAGCTGATCAGTCACCCAAGCAGTGACGAACCACTCAGAGGAGACTGGTTGGGAATGCAGAATTGCATGGGGTGCAGTTTGATGAAAAAACTCAGGCCCAGATCAGAGTTTCTACAGAATCCAGGTGGACTGAGTCTCTGAAGAGCAAGAAGTACCTATAAGGTCAACCA